GCACATTTTCCACCCCCGCGGGTGTCATGCTCCGTTAATACACCCCTCCGTGTGTCGCGGCAGGTCGATCTCCGTCGTCGATGGCGGTTTCACGACACGTGCTCATATTTCCCTTGATATCGCGCTAAAGTATAGCCTCTGTGTTACGCCGAATGCAAAGCGCCGAAGCAAGCTTTTAAGTACCCCCCCACCGCCCACAGTAGTAGCTGGAAGCCGCCCTCCGCAAGGGGGGGCGTTTTCTGCCGCAGAATTGAAAACGCTTTGCTTGTGAGTTGACGACCCTGCAATTAATGAATGCAGGTCAGTTCGAATGCCACGCATGGCAAGGTGACGGTGGAGTCGTCGCCGAGGTACATCTTCAACCCCCTGGCCCCCTACAGGATGGGCATGGTGCAGCCTTTCGCGAGGCTCGTGCTCGTGCTGAGGGACCCGACAGATAGGTAGGTGCGACGAGCTTGACGGCAGGAACGACACCGCTCGCTTAACTACGACACTCGTCATTCGCCGCGAACCTGTGTGTCTCTAGCTGCGCCCGTTCGCGGCCAAAGTCAAGCCGTTTGACCAGCCACCGGTGACTGGAACAATCGCGATTATTTTTATGTTTTTAGTTTATCGTTTAGGGTACCTCTTGGGATCCGATGATGTCGGTTGCTAGAGCCCAAACCACGATGCTCTCCTTCACGGACTGTGCTGAGAATCGAGCGCAGCAAGGCGTGTGGCAGAAGAAGATTGTCTGCATGCGGCTTGCTTCTTCCCAAAGCGTATCACACCTCGTGTGGTTGTTTGTTGTTTGTTGCTGTCTCGTGCGCCGGAAGGTTCGGCATGCAGTGGAGTCGGTACAGGTGCTGTCGCGCAGTATCCAACTTCCCAACATGTTGCGAAAATCGCCCCCTTTTGCTAGACACGCTTGACGCAGCAACCGACGAGGAGGTTGGGCGACATTCCAACCTAACAGCGGACGACGCACGTTTTTTTCCTGAACACCTCGCTGTTGCTCCTCCAACCGCCCCGTCTCCGTTGTGGTTTTGCACTCTACGCATGAAAACAAGATACTTTTCACAGTTGCGTATGACGATGTGTTCCGGCAAGACCAACCAGACCTTCGAGCGCGTGCAGGAGAACCAAGCAACCTGGTTCCACTCCCCCGGTGATGCCGCTGGCTACATCGACGGGGTGAGTTCCAGTCAGTCTTCTTGTGGTGTGCGAAACCTTGAGATACGTACAACGTTGTTTTGTATTTTCATGTACGAGAACGTGCAGCAAGTCCGCGAGAGACGAAAAAATCACGACGCCTGCCTCATCCTGGCGTGTGTCGTCCCGTTGGTTTGGCTGATGCATTTTAGTTGTATCGTTTTGTCAGCCGGATGGCGCGATCGATGGTGGAGCTTGAAGAAATGCACAGGCCGACAGAGACAAACACTCACACACACACACCAAGGCGAGTTGACCCCCCCGTCGGCTGCTGATGCTGATGCTGCTGATGCTGCCACTTTTTCATCATCCCGAGTAGGGGTGAGCGAGGTGTGAGCCCTACACGCCCCGCTATATTTTTTGTGTTAGCACAGAGACACTCAAAACACACACGCAGGCGAATTGAACCCCCCCCCCCGGTCGCCCCCCTCGGTGTTTGCCATCGGGGTTGGGTTTTCGTCGCTTGGCAACGACGTTGTAAAACAAGCCGCCCCCCCTCCGTGTTTGCCATCGGGATTGGGTTTTCGTCGCTTGGCAACGACGTTGTAAAACAAGCCAATTCACTTCGTGAACTCGGCAACCAGGTTACCGTTTTTTTTCTTACCTCTGTTTTTTTTTTGGCAGTAACAATAATGGTGGTCGAGTAGATCATGTTGTGCGGGGTCGAGAACCCTCGCTCCGCGCAAGGGGGATGATCGCACCACGTTGGGTTAAAATGGTCAAGCTTCCTCGAGGCAGTTACACAGTGCTTATAACTGTCTCTGGAGGTGAAAGCACCAGAAAACAAATTAAGTCATACGCAGCTGTCATCCGTACGCAAGGAAGTAAGCACAAGATGCCGAACACCCGTAGCAGGATGCAGCGCACCCTTCATGCGACTCGCCGAATACCTCACGGCGCTTCGCGCTTGGTGATGTGAGAGCCTGGTCCGATGAGAACCCGGCGTGCTCCGTCCCGGCTTTGTAGGGATGCGAGGTCAATGGTCTAACGACTACGGCATGCACGACTGTGAGTACAACCCCCCCGGTCGGCTGTTGCTGCTGCCACTCAGGGAGAAGCGACATACGAGCCCTACACGCCCCTGTGCCGGGGAGAAAACGCGACCACGGAGGACCTCAGGGACTGCTACAGGGCCCAGCTCCCGCACCACCCGCTTCTCAGGGGGCTGTACGCCGACCAGCTCGAGAGGTGGTTCAGAGTCTTCGACAAGTCACAGGTTGGTAATAGCTGAACTCTCGACACCCACCCACCCCGTGATTGGCAGGTGGTTTTTTGCTTGTTTGGCTTCTTCTTTTGTGTTCTTTCTTTCTTGCAAAGAGAACAACAAATCCTTTTACTTTCTTGTAGGCCCACCTTGTCAGGAGGCGGCATGGTCTGCACCTACGATGAGGTGGCACAGATATATGCTCCGCTCCGTGTTTTTTTTTTTTGGCAGGGGCGCGTTTTTTTTTCCCTTATTGCGTGCGGCGTAACTCCCACTGACAGTGTGGCTGTCGACAGCAACTTGGTGAAAACAAGTTAACCAGCAAAAAGATCGTTGAACGGGATTCAGGGTGCGGGATAGGCAGAGTTGCTGAGTTGTTCAAGAAGAGGCAGGGAGAAAATCACATGAACGTCGATATGTTTACGGCCAACACATCGAAAAAGTAAAAATCTCGCCGCTAGCGATGCCCGGCGGCACCGTCAAGGGCTGGCTGCGGCGAAGAAGGAGGCTCTTCTATTGAGTAATAGCACCACTTTTGATTGATCTTCTCCCTCTCTCCGCCGCTCCGGCCCGGCGCCGCGCGTGTCTCACATTGTGCGTATCACCACCATCACACCACCTCTCTTTTCTTCTCTCTCCTTTTTTAGGATTCCTGTGGTGTCTGTCTCTTCTCCCCGTACCACCACCACCACACTTACTTGCCTCTCTCATATTTTTTCTCTGTATTTTGTTTTTTGGTCTGCGTCTTTCTCCGGCGGCGGCGGCGGCGGCGGCGGCGGCGGCGGCGGGCAAGAAAGATCTTGATAGTCGATTCGGCCAACATGATGGAAGACTTGCCGGGCGTGTTGGCGGACGTGGCCGCGCACATCGGCCTCCCGGGATCCGACTTCGACTCCGACCGTCCCGTGCAGCACAGCACCGGCCTTTGCCCGGCTCTCGGCCGTGGCGAGGACCCCGACTTTTTCGGCGAGGAGGGCAGGTGAGGACAGGAGAGGACAGGACAGTTGGAATGCACCGCAGCAGCGGCAGCACCAGCACCAGCACCAGTAGCAAACAGCACCAGCAGCACCAGCAACACCAGCAGCACCAGCAGCACCAGCAGCACCAGCAGCGTGGGATGGAGGGCTAACCCATACCGCAATCACCGCAAATAATGCGGAATGTTTTGTATTTGGTCGGGTTGCGGACCTACCGGAGAGGTCAGTCTTCTGCACGGGACTACTAGTGGTGGCCCGGCCCTGTTTCGCGGTGATCACAAGACGTTTCTGCCTCTGCAAATATTCACACTCTTGTGATCATCTCCGCTTTTGTGTCGTTCGTGAACGTGGGGACGCGCGCGAGTAGGTATGACAAGATGCTCGAGGAAGAGGACCTCTTCCGAGAATGGTATCGGCCGCACAACGAGGTGCGTTCGGCGTTGCCTGACCGCTCGAAGCGTGGTCCTTCCGTTGCTTTGAGTCCTGCTTGCAAGCTTAGAGTGAAACGCACCACGTGCTGGGGGGACCATGTCGGGCACCCCGCCATCCTCTCTCTAGTCCCTCGTGGTTTCTGTTTCTCTCATCTTCCACGCCTCCTCCCTAGAAAAAATTGCGGGGAAGGCGGGGGTGAAGTGCGGGTACGATAGAAAGAGAGAATGTGTGGAAATTCGCATGCGGGTAATCGCGATCACCATGTAGGTGTACGATTTCACCCCGTGTGTTGTTTCTCCCTCAACTTCTGCCCACCCCCACCCCTAACCCAACGCTTCATTGGCGTAGAATTTGATCGCGGCACTGTTGCAGAGCACGCCAGAATGGCGTCCCACCCCGTCCTTCACTAAGCTTGAACGATGTGATTTCGGTTGCCGCTGTCAATTCCGCCCTTACACCCAGCGCCTCTTTAAACTGCTCGGGCGCAGCATGATGTGGGACTGATCATTCAAGGCGACACGCGTGCCTTACCACGTCTGTCTCCTCTGGGAAGAAGAACATGAAATTTGCGGCGCGGGTCCGTGGGCAAGAATTGTCCATGTTGAAAAAACGTGTGCCTTATACGTGGATATGTCCAACCTGGGACTTTTTCAATTTACGTCATTTTCGGTGTATTGATAGATCCGGCCATCTCGGATATATGGCCCTTGGGTGTTGTCTGCATCGCGCAAGCAAGCATGCATGTGTTGTTAAATATTGCCAATGAATGAATGTGGTGAATCGTAGCGCTTGGATTGGTTGGAAATTTTGGTGTTAGTTGTCTTATTGTGTTTCGTTCGTTTTTTATTGATTGTTGTCGTCGTACTTGGGAGGACACGACGCGATGAAGCGCGCACCGGGGCGGCAGTGTAGACGGCACCTGTCGATAAGTTTGCTATTCAACGTACACACAGGCCTGCCCGCTTTGTTTTATTCGTCTGTTCGATTTTGGTGTCGCAGCGCGGGGAAAGAATCGTTGTTGGAATATATATCGTACAGTACCCGGATATTTCAGTCGCTGCCTAAGGTTCTGCGCAGGAGGTGCTTCATACCGAATACAGCCACACACTGACTGCAGTATTGTATGCATACCGTCCACCTACGCCGGCCACAATCGATTTTGAACCTCCTGTTTTGCAACACCCTGGAGTGATAATTCTTTAGTGGAGTAGGTTTCCTGCTGAGGGACTCTCCCGGTCTTTTTAAATTTATTTCTTTTGCGTGTGTGTTTGTTTAGAAAGAAAAGAAGTGCTCCTCCCGGTATCTGCCGAGTTGTAACATGGTGGCTGTGTGCAGACAGCAGGATATGCTGTGTGGCGCCCGGCGATATGCGTATAAATAAGACGACATGTCATCTGGTTGAGGATAGATTATTTTTGTCCACCATCATCGACGTCAGTTGTGTTATGGGGCGGAGTTTTTTTTGGGAAATGGACAAAAGTGGGTACTCGAACATCCAGCGCGCGCGCCCCTCCTATGGAGCGACCCCCGAACGACTGAAAACTAAAAACCCCATTCTTGACACCTGGGCGACACAGCCAGGGACCATACACAGCACGGGCATCGATTTTTTCCCACTGTCAGGCACACCTTTGGCCCTAATACCGCCGAGGCGCACAAGGCCTCACCAGAGTGCCCACTTCCGTCCGACATCGCGGTGGGTATACCTAGCGGCGTCAACTATTTTTTCATGCCCACTTGTGTCTGTAGTTGTACCCACTTTTGTCCACTTACGGACGGCGGAAATCGAGCGGAAATCGACCTCCACGTCACCGCACGGCAGAACATCGAATAGCCTCGGAACGTCTCAGAACCTCCCAACACCGTATGTATCCATGGCATCCAGCAGTTTTTGCAGTCTGTTAGTGACTCTTCCTATCTAACGGCTTTTACGCCCTCTGATTGGTCCGGCGTTGGTTCCTAGCCTTGACCCTCTCCAGCGCCCTCTCGCCGTTCCGCATTCCGAGAACGCGGCGCAGCCGCGTTCTCGACCAGTTCGCGGCCGCTAGGCCGTGCGTTGGCCGTGGGTGAGGGTTAGGGTTAGGGTAGATGTGGGGTGAGGAACCTAGCCTTGCTCGCGTGAGGAACCTAGCCTTGCAAAGTGCAACATCGGTTAGTCCTAAAGAGTCACTAACAGAGTGTAAATAGACCTCATGGCATCTTTCCTATCCATGGCTGCCGACTGCGGACCGATCGCGGGATATCGGGCCGGATTTTCACTTCGTATTACATACTACCAAATCCCCCACCCTGAACCCAGACATCATCGAACGAGTGACGCAGCGGCCAGCGACACGTGACAGTCAACGGTTGGGAGAGGTGCCAGATCTCGAGGAGGTGGCACGGGCAGCGAAAGGCCTCAAGAACTGGAAGGCACCCGGCCATGACTCCCTCCCTGCCGAATTGCTCAAGATCGATGACGACGAACCCGTTGTCCTGAGACACCTCCATACCATCCTCGTCAAGGTGTGGAACGGAGGAGATATCCCCCAAGAGTGGAAGGACGCAACCATCAAGGTGCTGTACAAGAAGGGTGACCGGTCCAACTGTAACAACTACAGGGGGATTTCGCTACTATCTCACGTAGGCAAGGTTCCCATCAAGATCATCACCAACCGTCTAAGCGCCTTCTGCGAAGCCAACAACATCCTCCCGGAGGAACAGTGCGGATTCCGACCCGGGCGATCCACCGTCGACATGCTGTTTGTCGTGCGTCGCCTCCAGGAGCTGGGGCGGAGAAAAAAATACCGCTCTACATGTGCTTCGTCGACTTGAAGAAGGCGTATGATTCGGTGGACCGAGAGATGCTATGGAAGGTGCTGGCCAGGGCCGGGATTCCCGCGAAGCTAATCAAAGTCATCCGCCAATTCCACGATGGAATGCGGGCCCGGGTGCGCATGGACGACGGAGAACTATCGGACTGGTTCTTCGTCACACAGGGTGTGCGACAAGGATGTGTGCTATCCCCACTGCTGTTCAACATCTTCTTCGCCGAGGTCCTCGAGGTCGTCGTTATCCGATTCAGCGAGGATGATGTTGTTCTGCGGAATCTGGTGTGCTTGGAGGAGGGGAAGACGGAAGCGGGGGGGGGGGAGGAGACACCCCTTGACCGAGTACGGAGGGCAGTATGGGGGATGCTGTATGCCGATGATGCCGGCGTCGTATCGAGGTCTGCAGAAGGACTGGCGAGAATGATGACCATCATCGTTGAGGTGTTCGGAGAGTTCGGGCTAACGGTGTCGGAGATGAAGACGGAGACGCTCCTGATGCGCGCGAAGGACAAGCCGACTGCAACATCACAGTCCCCCCCGCCTCCTCCTCCACCACTGACTATCGAAGCCGCGGGACAGAAATACGCCCAGACGACCGAGTTCCGGTACCTCGGTGGCCTCGTCAACGAACATGGCGACCTCACCCGGGAGATCAGCTACAGGAGCAGAGGAGCGTGGTCGTGCCTCAGGCGATATGGCCAGGAGCTCTTCGACAGACCGAAAGCGCCATTCCGACTCAATCAAGATCCGCCTCCTCCAGGCGGAGGCGATGGAGGCACTGCTGTACGGCTGCATGACATGGTCACCACTCAGCGGCCACTATCAGACGCTGCGGTCGACACACCACCGACTGCTCCTTCGAGTTATCGGGTACAAGCGCAAGAAAGACACCTACCGGCAGCTCTCGTACGCCCAGACGCTGAAGAGGGTCGAATGCAGAGCGTTGAAGCCACGATCCGACAACGACGCCTACTGTTCGCGGGAGCACTGGCAAGGCAGCGGGACGGGCGACTCCCGAAACGACTGATGCTCGGCGAGCTGGCGGGGGGGGAGAAGCCACGTAGGGGGGGACAGGAACAGAACTGGCCGAAGTGTGTGCTCGACGACCTGAAGGCCTTCGGGGCCGACCACGGATCTACGAAAACCGACCCAAGTTGTCTCGGAATTCCCGTACCGAAAGACACGGCACCGAAGTCAAGGTGGACGGAAGCCGCGAAGGTGGAGGGGGGGAGTACCCTGGCATGCGGCGGTGCTGCAGGGAGCTGAGAGGTTCATGACCTCCTGGCACGAAAAGGAAGAAGAGGCCAGCCGACAACGAGCGCTCAAACGAAACCACAAGCCAACAACCAATGGGGCGGGAGGGGGGCAGGAGACGGACGAGACGGCGAGGGAAGAAAGCAAACGAGAAGAGACGGACTGAGTGGCACGACACGTGCCGGATTGAATTTCTTTTCGCCAATTCCCCCCCCCCCAACGCTGCACCATTGCACCAACCCCCCCAGTAGTAGTGATTTCGTACCATTACAATGTATCGCTGGTTGGTGGCCATGTTTGCGTGTTTGCTTGTTCGTTAGTGGTCTCTCCACCGTGTGCCTTGTTCTGCCTCATACTTCCTGTTATTTTCGGCCTGGTCCCTCTTTGTCCTCGCCCTTTTTTTCATTTTTTCATTTTATTTTCATTTATTTTCTCTTCTCCTTACGGTTTCCATTTTAATTTTTTCTCCTTTTTTTCTCTCTCTTTTTTTTTTTTTCTGTGCCAGATGGACTTGTCTCTGCTTGCGTTGTGAAGTACCAAGATTGAACCAAGGGAGTGTGCCTCTTTCTCTCCGGCCCATGATAGATAGTGACTGCTAATCTCAGTTGATACCCCGCATAGCGTGAAGAGGGAGCGGAGGATCCCAGAATATCTGTCGTTGATTTCTATTGACTTGCGGACCCCTCGGGGCCAGTTTATTTGAGTGTACCTTTTTAGGGTAAGTTAACCTGTGACCACCGGAATCGACCGCGTCGAGTGTTGGATCAGTACGGACATACGAAGGTACTGGGGATTGGAACGGTTTTTAATGTGAAGACAACAACAACAACAACAACAACAACAACAACAACAACAACAACAACAACAACAACAACATACATACATACATAGTGTAGTGCATATAAATACCCTCGTTTTAACATCACGCAGTTGCGTGGTAAACTGCCTTGACATGTTGTGTTGCCCTCACGAGTCGGTGTGCACTCGTCATGGTGGTGGGTGCTTTTTGCGTGTGTGGCGCGTGTGTGTGTGTGTGTCTGTGTTACTGCATGCGCGTCTCTTTGCTCTGTATGCGCGCCCGTTGGTTTTGTTGTCCGTTGTGTGTCACACATTTGTGGCGTGCCGTTAGTGCGCTGCTTGCCGGGCTTGTCGCGGGTATCTTCCCGTGCCGGTACCGAAGGGGTATGGAATGTTTCTGACATGTTCCTCCGTGGTCGGTCCGCAGTCGGCAGGCATGGCTAGGAAAGATGCCATGGATACGGTGTTGGGAGGTTGTGAGACGTTCCGAGGCTATTCGATGTTCTGCCGTGCGGTGACGTGGAGGTCGATTTCCGCTCGATTTCCGCCGTCTGTAATATATAAAAGTGGACAAAAGTGGGTACAACTTTGGACAAAGTGGGTCAAAATACAGACACAAGTGGGTACATGAAAAAATAGACGCCGCTGGGTACCCACCGCGATGTCGGACAGAAGTGGGCACTCTGGTGAGGCCTTGCGCGCCTCGGCGGTATTAGGGCCAAAGGTGTGCCGGACAGTGGGAAAAAATCGATGCCCGTGCTGTGTATGGTCCCTGGCTGTGTCGCCCAGGTGTCAAGAATGGGGCTTTCAGTCGTTTGGGGGTCGCGTATCGCGAGCGCGCTGGATTTCGAGTACCCGCTTTTGTCCGAGAATGGCGTGGGTATATCCACTTTTGTCCATTTCCCGTTTTTTGCAGTCCTCAGCGGCGCTGCGGCCGTCCTTGGGCAAGTCTTCTTTTTCGTCGTGAACATTTGGCCGCGTTTTCTTGCCGATATCCGGAGCAGCGGGGCTCCGGGCCCGCGAGGTTATTTTTTTTTTTGTCTTCACTTCAAATCAGCGCTCACAGCAAGTAGTGCCGTTTACTCCAACCCGTGGTCACACAGAAGAGTCCCTCTCTACCCTCCCCTCCTGCGGTACTTTGCCTTCGATTTTTAATGCGAGAAGAGTTCAGCATTATCTTCCCTCTCTCTGTGTACACACGAACTGTAGCGCTACAATCCACTATAGGCCAGGAGCAGAAGCGACAGAAAAAGTCACTTTGCATGAAAAGCTCGCTTATACGCCGGGTTTCGAACCCCTGACCTGACCTCTAGAAGGTTTCGAGGGTACCAACTAGACCTGGGGCGACTTGGGGCGACCGGCATATTTATGGCAATGTGTGGATGAATTTGTCGGGAAGCGACCAACCAAGCGCCCTGCTGTAGACTAAACTTTCCTGCCGTTCCCATGGCTGCATAATATCTGCATAGACTATCTATGTACACTACTATTTTCGTTGTGGTTCGTTGTGATTGGTGACAAACACGCCGGGTTGTACAGCAGCGTTGACCCGTGGTTCGGTCCTCTGCCTTCACATTCATGCCAGGATCGCCAAGACACCAGTAGCTTATGGGATGAGGTCTGAATCTGACAACGTGTCTGTGTACTGCTTGCTGCTTGTTGCCAGCTACTCATGTTCTCATGTTGCACTGCACTTCTTCACTGCACTTTACCGAGGTAGGTGTGATTTTGTAGAAGAACGGTCAGATTGCGGGGAAGCCTCCTTGGCGCAACTCCTTCACATGGTCCACCTCTCTTGCCGAAATGCGCAGCAGGCGTAGCGGCAGAAGACCACGTGAACTGTGCCCCCCTAAAATCCATGCACAAAACCCGACTGTAGGACATGAGGCCCATGTTTATGGTTTCCAAATCTCTATCTATCTTCCTTTCTTTGGACAAATGTTGACTTTTTCGACCTTTTGGGCAGTCTGCCTCCCGAACGAATGCGAATCAGCTGTTCGACCTTTGAGAATAGTCACAGCTTTGGCTGAGATGTCTACAGATCGCCTATTTGTTTCACCAGGGCCCACGTTTGATTTTTTCAAGATGCACAATTTTCACGCAAGATTATTCCAACCCCAGCATTTGGACAGATCTTGGCCCAAGATTTGCTCCGAGGTGGTCTTTGGGCCGAATCTTGCACATCTTGAACTGCTGGAAAAAAATCAAACGTGGACCCTGGCAAAACAAATAGGCGGCCTGTATACATCTCAGGCAAAGCTGTGACTATTCTCAAAGGTCGAACAGCTGATTCGCATTCATTCGGGAGGCAGACTGCCCAAAAGGTCGAAAAAGTCAGCATTTGTCCAAAGAAATGAAGATCAAGATTTGGAAACCATAAACATGGGTCAGTCTCGCCGGGAGCTACAAATATCTTCTTTTTTTTTGTGACCTGGACCAGAACCTGACCTGGTGTCCGACGTTCCGACTTTGCCCTGTTTGCCACCTGCTGGTGGTATGCTGCTGTTGCTGTGTGCATATAATTTTCATATATGTATGTATGCCTGCTTGATGACGTCGACGGAGATGGACACAGCAAGCAATGTGTGCACTCCAGCTGCTGTGTGCACCAGGGACTCAGCTGTTGTGGGGGTGGCACGCCGCTCGTCGTAGTGAAGACAAGCAAGCCTCCTACCTCCTTTCGTTCTATACATAGTCTAACATGCCGGGCCGGTAAAGGTAGGCCGGTCATCAAACAGTGTCGCCTTCCCCGCCGACACGCCGCCAACCGCCATCGGGTTCACCAGCCCCCAGCACACACATTCGTTTGGGGGGAGCGCAACAGCAGGGATGACTAGACACCAACCGCGGAACCCGGGTATTTCGACGCGGCAAAGGAGATGTTGTTGGCCTTACGCAACCTGCGCTGCTGCTGCGGGTACCCTCGCGGCGTTGTGTGTCTGCTTCGTTCTCGGGGCGTCGATCGGGTGGTGGCTCGGGGGACACCGGTCAAGGCAAGAAGCGGTCCTCGCCGAAACGTTGCGGAGAAGGGGCAACAAGCCAGTCGTTGTCGTACGCGATGCGGGAGAGAGCTTTGTGCGGCACTACAACAGTTTCGCGGCGTACGCAGCAGAGATGCTCAACAGCACCGAGCCTCTTCCTGTGCCCGTTGTCACTCCGAATGATGGACGCCGGCCCCCGATGTCTCTCCCGCTTGGAACAATCATTGGAGTGCAGGTGAACCTTAGGCGGAGAGGTACGACCGCAGCACAATATCACGCAGTGGTAGCACTCAATTTAGGTAGCTATCTACAACTGCTGTGTAGTAGCGGGAGCCAAAAGAAGTACAAATACACCCCCTTCTCGTCGTTTATTTTTGAAGGTCAATAGCCCGACGTTTCACATATAGACTATATGCCCTGTTGGTTGGTTTGCTTTTTGTTCACGACTACTGTTCATACATATGCAGCAATACGCCGCTTCGGTTGATCTCTTCCTCGATAGGGACACACTGCTTTTCTGCTCTATGCACACGGTGGCGAAATAGTAACTACTGTACCCATTCATGTACCTCCCCGCAACTCTGTCGGGGCGGCTACTGTATGTAATGAAGTTCGTCCGCTTCCTCGCACGCGGACTGAGCATCCCGAAAGAAAGGTGTTGGGTACTGTTAGGTAGTCGGGCGTTTTGTGTGTGGCACCCTGTTAGTCGTAGGGCATGCAATCTCCCTCGGTTTTCAAACGTATTTTCAGTGTGGTACGCATATGTACGGAGTGTGCGTATGTGCGGACACATTTCAGAGTATGTGCGGACACACGGGAGTGGTCTCACCGTTTTCTTACCGTTTTGTGTAATTTCATATCGTTAAATTGTATGCGCGAACGAAGGCTCTCAGCTATGCGGTCAGGGCCGAGGGGGCCCAGGGGGAAAAAAACGGGGCGCGCGTTCAGCTACACCTTCCCAACATAACATATATGAGACACACAAGACAGCTACCAAACTATTTTATTGAGCCTGTTACCCGCAGGGGAGATGTCCCCATATGCTGTCTGGGAAATCGTAGACATATAGGTAGCTTTTTCTGAAGCTATGAATTCATTGCTAATCTGTCTCTGACTCTTTTCTATTGTTGTTGTTGTTGTTGTTGTTGTTTTTCTTCACATTGTTGTTGTTGTTTTCTTCACATTAAACTCGTGTCAGTTGCTAATCCCAAAATCTAGCAAAGACTCGGCCCGTGGTCACAAAAATGCTAAAGCCATCAGAAGATCTGAAGAACACGCACACTATTAGCAAGAAAAGGGTACACAAGCCCGAGGAGGTACACCTACAATCCCTGCAGCACGTTTGCGTGCTCACAACTGAACTACACGCCCACACACTACAATTCGACTACAGCAGGCGGCATCACCCCCCTTGTCCCGCACTTCACCAAAATGAATGTTTGTCGACTACAGCGTACTGCTGTCTGAAGTGCTGTCCTTACAAAATACCACCATGGTGTATGGTGCACAACAAGCTCGGAGCATGCAGCTGCTGTCTGAAGTGCTGTCAGAATGGTCCCGTGGACATACAATGAAGAAGAACATCAACCAACCAAAGCCATCATTGCAATTGACAATCGCCCGAATCTATCCAGATCATCTGTGTTAGACACAGCAGTGTAAACATCGGCACTGACTAGGAATCGTTCCACATTGAAGGGGTCTTCCACGATGCAGGTACACAATTAAGGCACCCGGGTTATCCGCGCCATCTCTGCCGCGTCTCTCTACAAAACCAGTGACGTCATTACACATAGCTAACACCGATATTCAGGAAAAAAAAACGGAAAATAATTGACAACACAAGAGATGTTTGTCCGTGCGACACGGTTCGATGCCGTCCGCATGCTCCGGTTCCGCTGCTGCTCCGGTTCCGCTGCTCCGGTGCCGCTTCTCCGGTGTCGCTGTGGCCAGTCCTAGCACGACCAAATTCGACCCGCTCCGCTTCGTACACGCTCTCGTTGCTGTCCTTCCCAGTCGGTTCCTCGCTTTCTCCCTCGTTGCACTTAGGGTTCTTGGTCTGAAAATTCTCGCGCCGAAGGGTCAACCAGCCCAGTCAGCTCGTCACCACCTGTCCCCTCCTCATTTGATGGCAAAACCAGGTTACTGAGACAGTACAGCTCCCTCTAGCAAGCATAGGGCCGTGTACATAGTGCCCGTCCACCTTTCTGATGGCGTCTGCCTCCGCGCACAAAGATGAGATGGGCATTGCTGCCTGCACCGACGGCCTCGAGGCCCGCGCATCTGCACCTTTGTACCTGACGCACCAGTGCCGACCCAACTCCACCACTACGCACGCCTCGCGGCGGGTGCGCCGTAGCAAGAAGGTATCGGTCCCTTGAAGATGAGTCTAGCCCTGCTCGCTAGAAAGACCCCCCCCCTCGCTTTGGGTCATGCCTAAGCAAAACCTTGCCGAGGCAGCGAGGGGAAGAAGGGAGAAGCATTAAACTCGTGTCAGTTGCTAATCCCAAAATCTAGCAAAGACTCGGCCCGTGGTCACAAAAATGCTAAAGCCATCAGAAGATCTGAAGAACACGCACACTATTAGCAAGAAAAGGGTATACAAGCCCAAGGAGGTACACCTACAATCCCTGCAGCACGTTTGCGTGCTCACAACTGAACTACACGCCCACACACTACAATTCGACTACAGCAGGCGGCATCACCCCCCTTGTCCCGCACTTCACCAAAATGAATGTTTGTCGACTACAGCGTACTGCTGTCTGAAGTGCTGTCTGCACAAATAACACCATGGTGTATGGTGCACAACAAGCTCGGGGCATGCAGCTGCTGTCTGAAGTGCTGTCAGAATGGGTTCCGTGGACACACAATGAAGAAGAACAACCAACCAAAGCCATCATCATTGCACTTGACAATCGCCCGAATCTATCCAGATCATCTGTGTTAGACACAGCAGTGTAACCATCGACACTGACTAAGAATCGTTCCACATATATGATGGGGTCTTCTACGATGCAGGTACACAATTAAGGCACCCGGGTTATCCGCGCCATCTCTGCCGCGTCTCTCTACAAAACCAGTGACGTCATCACACATAGCTAACACCTATATTTAGGAAAAAAACGGAAAATAATTGACAACACAAGAGATGTTTGTCCGTGCGACACGGTTCGATGCCGTCCGCATGCTCCGGTGTCGCTGTGGCCAGTCCTAGCACGACCAAACTCGACCCGCTCCGCTTCGTACACGCTCTCGTTGCTGTCCTTCCCAGTCGGTTCCTCGCTTTCTCCCTCGTTGCACTTAGGGTTCTTGGTCTGAAAATTCTCGCGCCGAAGGGTCAACCAGCCCAGTCAGCTCATCACCACCTGTCCCCTCCTCATTTGATGGCAAAACCAGGTTACTGAGACAGTACAGCTCCCTCTAGCAAACATAGGGCCGTGTACATAGTGCCCGTCCACCTTTCTGATGGCGTCTGCCTCCGCGCACAAAGATGAGATGGGCATTGCTGCCTGCACCGACGGCCTCGAGGCCCGCGCATCTGCACCTTTGTACCTGACGCACCAGTGCCGACCCAACTCCACCACTACGCACGCCTCGCGGCGGGTGCGCCGTAGCAAGAAGGTATCGGTCCCTTGAGGGTGAGTCTAGCCCTGCTCGCTAGAAAGACCCCCCCCCTCGCTTTGGGTCATGCCTAAGCAAAACCTTGCCGAGGCAGCGAGGGGAAGAAGGGATATCTCGAAAATTATGATAGAGATGGATTCGTTGTGTCATACTAAGAAAAATAAAAAAACAATGACGTGTTTGCGCAGAACAAAATTTGGCTCGTAACGACCAGTTCGGGGTATCTAAAGTTCCTCCGACGCGACTTCTACCTAAATATGTCTTGAGATTTCGCCATTTAGAGAAATTTGCAAGCAAAATTTGCCGCCCGAACGACCACGCGCGCTGGTTGGTCCACGTCAGTTTGGGCCGCTTGCTGCGCCGTTGTGGCACGAGACGGCACGAGACGGCACGAGACGGCAGCGGGCTACGAGACGCGCAGCCAGTGCCCGCCCCATGCCCCTATACACAAGTAGTCATGGATAGAACCAGGAGGAGGCCGATCCGGGATGTCAACCTTAAACACCGCTACGGCGCCATGAGCCCCGGAGAACTGATGCATGAGCAGCTTTGCCTCTTGTGAGCAGCTGTCCTGCTGTTGGTTGGCAGCGAGGAAGAAGATGAGCACGAAACGGAAGAGCTCGAGTTGTGCGCTGCGCTCATAGCGCTGCAGGTGGAGACAGTACGGGTAGATCGCACGGTCATCAGGACAGTGAGGGGGAGGGATTTGTGCATCGCCGACATCTCGGAGGACAGGGCGTGGTGTGACTATCGCTTCAATTTTCAAATGTAGGTGCATATGTATGTGCACATCTTTCCTGACCCCTTCGAACTCCACGGCTGGCTGCATGTATGTATGTGCGCGGCGAGATTACACGGCCAAATGCGGATCATCTGTCTTCGTCTTCAGGGGTTTTTTTTTTGCGCACGGTGGAAAGACTTTATTTTTAACAGAAATTACATGGCATCAGTATAGCAAATTTCGTTGTATGCGCAAACACGTCAATACCATCCGCACTCAACGCAGAAAGGAGGTACGCAAAATCTTCGAAGCCATTTGCTCCAGCACCCGCTTCTGTCCGGGGTGCCGGGAACGGAGGCCCACTTCTTCGATCGCAATCCCGATACGTGAGTGAGTGGGAGGGGGGGAGGGGCAGCAGCAGCAGCAGCAACAGCAATAGAAGCACGACCCGCTCGGCAACGTGCTGGCTCTCGCCGTAGAGAAGGAGCATCATGTTGAACGTATGAACGACACCGAGGAATTCCCAACGACCGCAACCACAACGCAATGGAACGTTCTGGAACCAGGTGCAATCATTTTTCAGACAACGGCTGAAAAAGACCAAACCGGCACCACCTGGGTTCAACACTTGGGGGGGGGGGGGGGGTAAAATTTGCGCTGCTGCCTACAGTGCAGGAATCGAGAGCACACATAGAGCTGACGAGGGCTATCCATCAGGCACACACATACGATGAAGAAAACATTTAGTCACTTAGCAACTATCTTCACAGGAACTGCCTGCTGCTGCCGAATCCATGTGGTGCCGCACAATTCAGCTGGGTGGCTGTTTAGAAGCATCGACGTGACGCACGATGACCGCCTTGACACACGTGGGAGCAAAAGCTGCCGACCGGTACCAGCGTACGTTTTCGGGCTGATCTCTCTCCCTCTCTCTCCTTTCTCTCCCGGTGGTCATACCAACAACCATTCCAGGTACCCAAGCCTCGGTGAGTGGCCGGGGAATACTGGTGATGCGAGAAGAGCAAAGCTGCCTGCATCGGCCGCCGGAGAAGTGCTCGAGCTCTACTCCAATGCTACCATGAGAACAGTGAGGAAGAGACGCACAATGCATACAGCAGTAGTAGTGTACGCTGCCCTGCAGGATGAAAAGGGCGAATATTTTTTATTTTGCTCGAAAAGGGAAAAAAAAAAAACGCTGTGCAAAACTGACAAGTATTATTCTTGATATATTGTTGGTGGTGCAGCAGAAACAGCAAAACGGCACGCCAACGCTCCACCAGATCGCGACCACACGAGAGGCCTCCAAGGAAATCGAGACGGGTCGGGCATTCCTTACTCATTCGGAGGATGATCGATGACCAAAGTCAAAAACAGAGCGAGTAACCCCACGAAAAGGAACCCGAACTTCAAGCACGCTAGGGCATGAATACCGCACGGTGCTGCTTCAACTCTCGGGTATAGTGGTTCGAAAATACAGGTGGCAATGATGTTGATACTCTCTGTCCACCCAGGACATATGTAGTCAGCCGTAACGCCGGACAACCCTCTGCCGCCGCCCCATCTGCTGCCGATTTTAAACCGTGATCGGTCCTCGCAATAGATTGGCGCGCCTGATGAACTTGAGGAGGCTGGAGTAACCGTTACTGTGGACTCGTCTCCAATGTACATCTTCTACCCGCTGGCGCCGTACCGCATGAAGATGGTGCAGCCCCACGCCAGGCTAGTGGTCATACTAAAAGATCCCACGGCAAGGTGAATTATGCTTTATATCATCCCATTGACGGCATGCCGTGGTTCCAAACAGGACGTCAAGTCTACTACTTACAGTCTTCTGTCTGGTGGAATTCGGCGGTGGATTTTGTGCTCCGAGAACCAGTGTTTTAGGATGAAGGCGTGGTTTCTTCACGGGAAACGTTACGGCGGGCGATGATACCTGTAAATACTCGTTTGCTTATCCAGGGCACGGCTCTGTAGGATAGACCCCTTGTTTGCACTCGCTGCTCTCCCCTCTGACGCTGCCCTGCGTCCCACCTGCAAGGACTGCAGGAAAATTGCGGTGTTTCTTCGAGGGTTTAGTGACCGCAAGCGGCAACCTAGTGAGTAGTTGATTCTCGTTAGGGGGCATTGGTGTAGGGAAGCATCTTGGTGGATCTGCTTTCATTTTTGCTTGCATCCTGTGACAAGACATCCGTAGCTGCGGAGCTGCTCAGCGAATCGTTCTCATGTGACATGTCATCGGAATACACCAACCCCCCATACCTTGCCCGCCAAATCTGTGACGAGCGGTAACAATATCCACATTCATTCTAGCTCCGAATGGTAGTGAATATTCATTCACATCGTCGTTGGGCAAGGAAGTCATCGGCTGCATCGGAAAGTGGTATGTTTCGTCCATCCCCTTTGGTAGAACAAGGATTCTCAATCATCAGACAATCCGTACTGCCCTTCCGCCCCGAGGTCAAGACCAAAGCCCAATGAAACATACAATGCGCGCGTTTCGTACAAGACGGCTCCTAAGACACCGTTGTGCAGTGGAAGCGTGCAGCCGTCCAAACTTCGAAAAAGTGTCCAAAAATGTCTTACTTGTCCGCCGGTCCAGAATATCGACAGAAGATTTAGCAATTGCACGCCTGAGTTTCGGATGGATACGTATCTCCTGATCGCCTCGTAATAGGTATTTTTCGCACGCCCGGATGACGATGTGCGGAATTATCGACGAGTCCAAACCGAAAATATCCGTGAACTTCCGCCTAAAAGCGTTTCATGCTCCCGGGCGAGCAGCTGGATACCTCAATCGGGTGGGTGCGCTCCAGTCAGGAAGCCATGTCGGTTCGCCCGCGTCCTGTGGCAGGGTTGTGTGAAGTTGGTAGCGGTGGCGGTGGAGGTTGCGGCGGCGGCGGCGGCGGGATATGATGACTGTATGTCGTAAGTAGGGCAAGTTTCGTGGAAGTCGTATTCTTTCGAACAGTCCACGCCGCTTTCGGAGGATGAGTGAATAGCTAAACAATAAAAAAAACGCGTAGCCAGATGCTCTCTCTTTGGAGGATCATTTAGTCAAAGTCGCGCCGGTTACTTTGACAGTCACGCGAAGCGACAAAGAACACTCCAAACTGCATCATCTCGCGGTCCCGACGTACCGAGCCGTAGAGCGTTTGTCCTCGACTCATTATCCGTGAAGAAAAGTATTGTTCTGCAGTTGTACCAGCAACAGCAGTCTAGAAAAACAGCTGTTGAACACATGCGAAACTTGAAATCCTGCTTGTTTCGTGCCTTATGTAAGGGCGTATTGTCGTGGGGCTTCCACCTCTTATTGCTTGGTGGTCTGAACTCGCTACAATTTGATTCGGGAGTGAAGACTGGCTCCCTGTGAACCTCACCCTGTCTTGATGCGTACGATGCGTGGGAACGTTCCTGAGCTGACAGACGCACTTGGGTCGAAGAACACGAACATCACACTCTTCCTTCCTCCTGCTGCTTGTTGCCCTATCTATGTCTTCAACGTCAGGGTACACACAAGGTCGAGAGGTATGCACCACTCTGCCGCGGGGTGAAGGCGGAGCCGGGCGATCTTGCGAAGTGCTTCGTAGCGACAAACGGGCAAAACCCGTTGTTGAGGGGACTGTATGCAGGTGCTACAGTACGCTAACGATTCGGATCGTGCGCGAGCTGTGTTCTCCTTTGATGTCTCGAAAATCACCCGACATAGCGTTCCGTGTCGAGAGGCAAAGCACTCTCCATAATGAAGACCAGTTTGCAGCGTGCTTCTCTATATTAGGCCGGGAGTCTCTGCTTCCTGCTGTACTTTCTACAGTATCTCTGTCTCTCTCCCTGTGGACTAACCCACTTTGCATCGACGTTTCCGTGCCACACCTTGCGCGCACACCATCGCCGTGATGATTCGCGAACTAAAATCAATGTCTACAGACCAGCTGGAGCGATGGTTCGCGGTGTTCCCTCGATCACAGGTGAAAGCCATCAGCAACGGCAGCGTACCGTACTGTCAACGTCCGGAATGCGTGCTTGTGCGAGTGAAAACAAATGACACAGCACATGATAAACACAGGTTTTTTGTGTCGATGGTGTGCGGAACCCTCTTGCGCGCACGCTACGTATCCGCCCCGCAACCTGCATCACATCAACCCACATATCGGCCATTGCTGTCGGAACTGTGAATCGTCCTTAAATGAACGGTTGAGGGCGGCAAGCGTTGGAAGCTGGCCCGGCGTCCCATGGCACATGCCTTCTGTTATTAATTGTTCTGTCGATGGAGTACAGACGCGAACAGACCAGGCCGATAATCGAGAAACGCCAAGTTCGTGTCAAGGCCCAACTTCTCACTATGCCGTAGCCAACCGCCGAGTACTGTATTGAGTTTTGGGTAGATAAACTCTAGTCTAGGATCCACCGCTCGGTGATGTGTGGTATCCTGTGAAATTATTCATGAATGTCGGCATACTACATTTGTGCGCCCGTTCTGTACTTCGTTTCCTCCCCCAAACCCGAGAATTCAACCACGCCAACACACCACAGTTTTATATGCAACCCGCCCCCTTCATTTTTTCTGTTCTGTACACGCAATAACTACAAAGATACTCGTGATCGACTCTTCGGAGCTGTATCGTGACTTCCTCCCAACGCTGGAGAGGGCTGCGAGGCACTTGGGACTGCCGCCACACGACTTCTACTACGACTCCGACTTCCAGCACGGCACCGGCGCTTGCAAGGACAATCGCCCCCAGTTCTTCGGAGAGGATGGGAGGTGGGTGATCGACCGACCGCACCGGTGTGTGTATGGTGGGCTATGGAGTGAGTAAAGAAATTCACATTAAAGAAATTCACATTGACATCCATCCACAAGAGCGACAAAGTACGCGCCGCCAGGCTGCGGTTCTCTGTTGTAGACGTCACAAGAAGCCTACGCCCTAGCGATCGATTTTGACTCGGTTAAAAACAATGTTCACAGCCGCCGGCGGACAGCCACCGGCGGAACACCCGGGCTATTGGAAGGACCCCGCAGGCATCTCGCGCAGGAACCTTTCGCCGTGGTTGAAATTCACTCTGATCTTTGGTGGCGCAGTTACCGTGGCACCTTGTGTCCAGTTCTCGGTATTTTCTGCAACAAACTCGAAAGCTTTTGAATGTGGGCCTACGATCGAACTACAGGGAAAATGCTGATGGCTCACTGGGTCCCGCGTCAGAACTCGACATGAGCGTGGTGAATGAAGCTGCCGTACCTCCAAGGCTTGCCTGTCCTAGAAAGAAGAACGCTTGCCAATGTGCAGCTGTTTGTTTCATATGGTATGCCGCAAGTCAAGAGTGAACAGCTTGATCGCCGTTTCTCACGGCAATTCACTCCTTCATCATTCATTTCTGCGGCGAACAATGCGTCTCAGCGGAGTGCCGGTGGCATTGAGCGCAGCAAGCCGCCGATTTCGCTGCAAGTCCACCTATGAAAATATTCACTCGTGTTGCTTTATATTTTGACCATGCATCTTGACCTCATTCGGCACGTTCTGCATCCGATCCGCTCTCTGGTCCCCCTCTTCAGGTACAAAAAGATGCTCGAGCAGGAGCAACTTTTCCGAGACTGGTATAGACCTCACAACGAGCGCCTCTACTCCCTCATCGGCAAAGATTTAAAGTGGGACTAGGTCGGCTACATCGCGCGCAGAATGAAACGCCGTGCGACGGTGGCCGGCGCGCACAATAGAAACAACGTCAACGGGCGTCGAGAGATGTTCAACGATTGGCGGCCAAAAGGCGTTGACGTTTTTTTGCCTTCTGGCAGGACGTTGGCCTCTCTCTGCCGCTCGCTGGTAGAGCCCGATGATGTCCTCACGCAACTGATATTCGTCGGATGTCTCGTTGACGCGAGTGAAAAGAAAGGGGCCTGGCGGTACCAAGTACGGTAGTGAGGAAGGTAGACCTTCAAGACTACATATCCATAAATATGCACCAAGAAAACCTGTTCAGTCGTCACCGTCGTCACCGACTGCAAAAAGCACACCATTTCTCCCTGAGCTACTGCTTTGGCCGGTCCCGCAACAACGGGTAAAGACAGCCATATTACTGTACGCAAGGGTCCCCACCGCCTTGAAGCGTTCGCTTCATGAACACACCGCGTCGAAGAGTCGTGCAAAATATGCCGCGCGCGTCCAAACAACCTTCATCTCCAACGCGTTGACGACAGCCGATAATTTGGTGCAGCACGGGCATCTACATCTTACCCCGCAGGTTGACACACCCTCTACTCACGGGGGGATGAATCGCCTAGGCGTCAAAGCGGCCAGAGAAACTAAACTGGGCTCTGCTGGAAGTTCAACAACAGCCGAAAAGAAATGTCTCGGGTGGTTGGGACTAACCATACGTCTTGCCACTGTACATTTTATTTTCGAAGCCGGAAATTGAACCTGGCCTGTCCCGTAGTCAGACCGTCGTCGGCATTTCGGTTTCCAAAAGTTCGGGGGTTCCGCTGGTTGATAGAGCATGTGTGCCAACGTCCGACATGCATTCCTATCATGACGGCACTTACCCGCGCAATGCGAGCAGAGAGAAACTCTGTTTTATACGGTAGAACAGCGAGACTGCACTATCGCGGTATGAATTTCCCGAAACTAAAAAGAACAACGTTATCAAGCCCCACCGATGAAATTAGATTGAATCTTCTTCGGTCCCAAGCCTATGAACTATGAACCGTACTCTTGCGGTATTTTTTGTGGGAGTGTTGAAGCGATAGCGTCAGTCTCATCCGTCAGCACTCGTGAAATAATTCATTCACCGTATCCCCGCAACCCTTACCCGCCCTCGCCTCAGACGATCACCTCGAGCTGCAGTGCAAGTCTCGCTGCGTGTCAAGCATGGCTCGGAAAATCATGACTCCACAAAGATGCGCACACCGCCTCGAAAGCGCTCACGGTTCTTAGTTAAAAAACAAAATGCGAGAGAGACAACAACGAGCACAGCAGTAGATGAAGCGCTACTCTGTCACCAGCTGGACTACAGGAGCACCGCAAGAAGCGCTCGAAACATGGCCTGTTCGTTGCCACTGAGACAAAACGTTCCGACCAAGGAATGAATCCCTTCAAAGAGACCAGCAAGGTGTAGCGCAGGGATGGAAAAGTCATCACGACAAGTGAAGCAACTTTTTCTGCTACACTCGGAACGTGAACGAAACAGTCAAGAGTGATCGCCATACCCTTAGAAGGCGGCCGTGGGGACCACTCGACCTCTTCAAAACTATGTCGAATTCTAGTATTAGCACATCGAGAAGGATGCTGTCCAATCACGACACAAAAGCGGTCCTTATCGAAAAGAGAACAACGCGCGACAATCGCGGAAACTGCCGCAAGAAGCAAGGGAACGCCACACAAACATACAAATTTAACCTTCGCATGTTTATCGTACGTCTCATGGCCAACACACGAACTAATCATTTTTCAAAACAAGACCGGAAAGATCGGTGCAACGGCGGTTGTCATGCCGCGGCAAAAAACGCGGGGTGGACGCGCAAAAAGAACAAACACAACAATTACGAGCCAGGGTGGAACGCAATCGCGCCCCCCGCCCCTTGAATGAAAGCAAGAGCAAAGCCAAGGCTGTAGATATTTAGAAGACTTTCGTTGCATAGAACGACGCAAAATAAAAGGAAGAGGGCTACAACGGGTGTCCCCTACGACGCAGCTCCAACGCGAAACACACGAAAAAACAGGTCCGAAAGACGTGCCCCCGCGCATGCATCGCTGAGGGGGTGCGAGTCAGTCATGGAAAATAAAACCTCAAAATTCGACCACACGTCGACAACACGGCACACCGTGCTCAAAAATTGAGGGGGGGGTTCGAACACATGTCCGCTTGTTGCCTCCAGATATCCTTATCAAGTATTAACCACTCTCGGCATGAGGCCCGACGGAACACAAGCTCGTCTTGCTTCAGCAACAATAGAGGCATCGAACACAAAATCGGACGCTCTCTCTCTCTCTCTCGACGGCCTCGCGGTGTGTTCTACACGGAGGAGGGACCACCCAGGCGACACAACAAACATGAAAAAAGGAACAACGCCGTGACGCTGTTTTGCGCACAGCCAGCCCGCTTCGTCCGCGTACACTAAATAGCCGTTTTAGTCGCGCGGAGATTTGATAGATTTTCACTGATCAGCTGGTCAGTGGGGTCTCTACAGGCTAACAATCATGAAACACACAACGCACACAGGCGCACGAATCCTCGGTGTCGCCGCCGGCACCACCGTGCATGAGCTCGGTGACCAAGGTAGAAAACCGCGTTATTCCCAGCACGGCAATTAATGAAACCTGAATAAACTCGAGACTATCTATCCGACCAATCGCCCGAAATCCTTCGAGAGCCATCGACCGAATCAACAAGATAAGATATGATAAATATTGTACTCACAAAAACGCCAAAAAAAAAAAAAAGAGTTACTATCAAGGAGGGGTAGGATAGGCTGCCACGTAACAAATGCATACAAGACAAGCGGACGTACCACGACAGTCGACTATTTCACTAAAACACGGTGTAAACATGATACGACAAAGAAACACAGCTGACCCGCTTGGAACCTACCTCCCCCCCTCTCCCTCCTTCCGCGTACATCTCTCGTTAGGCTTCACGAACCGCGTGCTCCGTTGCATCAACTATCGGATTGACCCCCGCCAGCTACACTTAGGGCGGCCGGCAGCAATAATAGCTGCGTTCCGCACACTACAGCACACACAAAAAAATGTTTCGGGCATGAGTCTCTCCCCAGAACTCTCTGAACGTCACACACAGCTCTCTCAACCGACAAGTCGGGACGTGTGCCTGCTCGCAGGCAAAAGCTGCTACGCTCCCGCAAACTAGATTGCAAACCAGGCCGCAGGCACCGCCGGCGATCGATTGATGACGTCACGCGGGAGCCTTCGGCGAGCGCTTTCCGCCACCTCTCCGAGCACGCACCAGAGAGAGAGAAAGAGACCGAGAGAGAGAGAGACAGAGGTCTCAGCCGTGAAGCTTTTTCCTGCCGCCGCTCACCCGCTTCGAGCCCCGCTCGCCAAGTCCTACACTATAGCTCGTCTCTAGATGGCGCATCCGGTGCTGGTGCCGGGGGTTGCTTGTAGTGGGTCTGCGAACGGGTGATTCAGGGGGAGAGGAGAGACGTGAAAGGCAAACAAACAGACGTGGGTGCACGGTAAGAGGGAAGAGGAGAGCGGTGAAAGGCGAACAAACCGGTGTGTGTGCGTTGAACGGACGATTGTAGGAATTGGAGGCTGCCCCAGGCCCATCCATCCAGCCCGACCACAAAGCAGAGAAACGGGACGGTTTGTAACATGTCAACAATACGAACGCCCGACCTCTTCAAAAAACACTCCTGTGTTAACCACAAGCGATAGCAACGACGACCACCACCACAACAACAACAACGACAGCAATCGCGACGAAGACGACGGCAACAACAACGATGACGTCACCAGCGACTGAAACGAAGCAAGAAACACTCCGAAAACAAACAAAAACTCGCCGGGCGCCTTGGTAGAACGGTGACCGACCCTCTCTCAAGCCAAGCGCCTCTTTCCGGCCCCAGCTCAACAGCAAGGCCCCGAGAACCACCGACCAGCATCTACATAGTTGCTGAATCGTGAAAAGTAATCTGTCCCACGTCCCACGCCCAACTAACTACTTCGCCAAACGGAAAGAAGGAGCCCCGCCAACCAACCGACCGACGGTGCGCCCGGCTGCTGCCAACGTGTTTACAAACGCAGCCACAGCGGTGGTCCCGACATGTCGCGGTCCCGAATAGCGCGGTTCCAGATATGAATGTATCGCGGTAAAAATTCCTTGCACACACTGGTATTAAATAGCATATCGCGGACAGAGCCATTCCCGATGTATGTATCGCGGTTAAAATTCCGTTGTCACGAAAACCAAGCCTGTGATAGCCTAAACTCTACCCTTCAGGGGACCACCAGCACCGTCAGTCCCAATAAAAGTTTGTTACGTGTCTGTCTGTCGCTACGCCGCAATATTTCGGGCTGAATGCTACGTGGCCGAAACCATCTACACGGACCATGTATTTATGGGAGGGGGCTCTTGGTTTGGATGGGGGGGGGGGGTAGGTTGTTGGGCAGGGGGAAAGTGCGAGGGTCGTGAGTGGTATGATAGAGCCGTGGAAGAAGCGGGAGAGAGAAGAGAAGAGAGGGGAAGGGAGGAGATAAATAGAGATCGAGAGAAGACAGAGAGAGACGCGTTCCGCGGAAAAATTAGTAGCACCTGCCTGCTACACCTCGTCAGCAAGAGCGTGCGCTTGCCTTGCATTGAAACAACCGCAGATGCATCTATAGCTCCAGACGGAATGAAAAGCTTTGTAGAAACGCGAACCTTTCTCCTCCACGTCTCCTGCCGGGGTGTGCGCCCTCTCTGCGCTCAGCATACCACATGAGTGGTTGATTTTGTTGTGCGGTGTGCCCTTCCTTGGCGTAGTCGGCCTGACGACACCGAGTTAGTTGGACCAGTACGGATATGTAGAAGGTACTAACTGGAGACCGGAACAATTAACACATCAACAACAATCTCACGTTTTCGTTGACGAACGCCTCCAACGGCTCGAGCTCGTGCTCCCCGTCGTACACCTCGGGCTTGTCCTTCGACCCGGCCTTGAACAGCACCACCGTCGGCAGCTTCTTCGCCGAAACCTATCAAACAATCACATACGGCCCCGGGACAATCACACACATACATATGAATACCAGATCATGGCCTTTAGAAGCATTTTGTGTTTTCAACCGTACTGAGACTGGCTGGCGTATCTCATTGGTCAGCCGGTCAGCGCGGTCGATACCAATGAAAAAAAAAACACACACACACACACACAACGTGCTCTTTCTTCTAATATCGCTACCGTTCATGTCCATAATCCGGACAGTAGCTTAGCCTCCCCCTCACGGGTTCCCAGACCATGGCCTTCCGAAGCATTTTCTATTTTCACCCGCACTGAGGCTGACGTGTGCAGTCTTCATTGGCCAGCCGATTATAGCGCGATCGATGCTAATACTAAACACAACACAAACACGCAGAAGTGACTACTAGACAACTACACTGAAATAGAGACCGACCGATGAGGCAGATACGACCCTTACCGTGGGCGTCCATCGACGACCGTCAAAATGTCGGGGTTTCTTGTGGCATAAATGCAAAAAAGAAAAACGCAACAACAACAAACAGGAACGCTCCATTCTGCCGGGAGTGCATACCAAGTACATGAAAAAACAAGCAAAACAACAGAAACGTCTGGAAAACAATTCATTCCCATAAAGGAACCCAAACCCTACCACCACAGCTATCATGAGATTCACTACTGCACGCACAGCAGACGGGTAACGGCTAGCTCACCCCGGGATAGTCCAGGTCGTTAGCCGCCACGTCCATGTTCGCGACGACGAGCTTCTCCCTCCCTGCCAGCCTCTCCGCCATGTCTTCGTAGATCGGGCCGAGCCGCCTGCAGTGCGGGCACCACGGCGCGTAGAAGGCTACCAGGACGTCGTTGTCTGGTGACGATTGACAACAAATGCAAAGAAGCGAGCGGACACGCAGTCAGAGTCGGCCCATTGCAGAGAGGGCAGAGAAGACAGCAGCAGGGAGACGGACAAAGAGACAGCGACATGGACAAAGACAGAGACACGGACAGCGAGACAGGGATAGCGATAACGACGGCAACAGCGACCGCGGCAAACGTAGACGCGACGACGAGACGGAGGGGGGGGGGGGGGGTACTCATAGTCGTGCATGCCGTAGTCGTTAGACCATTGACCTCGCATCCCTACTAAGCCGGGACGGAGCACGCCGGGTTCTCACCGGACCAGGCTCTCACATCACCAAGCGCGAAGCGCCGTGAAGTATTTGGCGAGTCGCATGAAGGGTGCGCCGCATCCTGCTAAGGGTGTTCGGCATCTTGTGCTTACTTCCTTGCGTAGGGATGACAGCTACGTATGACTTAATTTATTTTCTGGTGCTTTCACTTCCAGAAACAGTTGTAAGCACTGTGTAACTGCCTCGAGGAAGCTTGACCATTTTAACACAACGTGGTGCGATCATCCCCCTTGCGCGGAGTGAGGGTGCTCGACCCCGCACAACATGATCTACTCGACCACCATTATGGTTATGGCCAAAAAAAAAACGGTAACCTGGTTGCCGAGTTCACGAAGTGACTTGGCTTGTTTTACAACGTCGTTGCCAAGCGACGAAAACCCAATCCCGATGGCAAACACCGAGGGGGGCGCTTGTTTTACAACGTCGTTGCCAAGCGACGAAAACCCAACCCCGATGGCAAACACCGGGGGGGGCGGCTTGTTTTACAACGTCGTTGCCAAGCGACGAAAACCCAAACCCCGATGGCAAACCCCGATGGCAAACAAGGCCGACGGGGGGCGTCATCGGGGGGGGGCACCGCTATTCAGTGTCGGCGGCGCTCGATGGAAAGGAAGGAGTACACCGCGGGTGTACAAGGAAGCCGCAAAACTATATACAATCGCACGAGAAAACCGTAAAAAACTCTCCCTCTCCGTGTGTCTAACTCTCCTTCTCTCTCTCTATATATATATATATATCCCTCTCTTTCTCTCTATCTCTTCCTCTCTCTCTCCATTGTCGGGTACAAAAGGAAGTCGCAACATCATACAAACTTCATGTCATACAATCGCAATATAATACCATTGCAACATCATACAATCGAAATATCATACAATCGAAACATCATACAATCTCAATCGCACGAGAAAGAAAACACGAAAAAAAAATGAAAAAAAAAAAAACATTATTTCTTGTTTTCTCTCACCGTTGTCGATGACTATCCGCCGGAAAGAGTCGGCCTTGACGACTTTCAGGCTCCCGGCCTCATCCCAGGGCGAGAGGGGCTCCGACTTCGTGAAAGGCTTGAGCTCCCCCGCGAAGAAGCTTCTTTCGAACGCTTGGAGGAGCTCTACGGTGTAGTCGTCGCCATCCTTGCCATCGTACCTTCATGGAGGGGACAGGAAGGGACTGAGACTTGGGGTTGCCAGAGGGCAACAAGAGCAGCAGATTCTATAATAGGTACAGTGGGTATTTCGCGGCAAAAAATCCTCGGCACTTCCAAAACTAGCCTTGTGTGCAAAACTTCTATTCAGGGACCTTTCTCAACCCGCACGGGACTCAGGACGACACAATCGCGACGACGCCGGCGAGGAACGGCGAAGAGCGAATGCCACTCACCGGTATTTGAGGGTCATCCCCTCCTCCTCCTCCTCCCGGGGGCTACGACAAACTCACCCGGGACGTCATATTGCCCCCCCACCCCCACCCCACCCCCCCCACCCACCCCCAAAAAAGGCACAAAACTCGCAGCAGAAATAACGGCGATGGCAAGAAACACGCCGCGCGGTTGCAGCTGCGGTGGTGGCGGTCCTAAACCCGCTTGGAACGCAGGACAACGGCGACGCCAACCGACGGCGAACACCGCTCACCGGTATTTGAAGGTCTCCCCCTCAACCTCCCCGGGGGTCACGAGGAACACGCCCGGAACGTGGTCTTCCCGGTTGCCGTCCCCCACGAAGAAACCCAGCACCTGAGCCCCGGCTTTGTCCATGGCCTGATAATATGTTTGTTCAAAACAGCGGGAAAAAGAACAAAAAAATCATAATTGTCGCTGACGCTCTTTCTATCTTTTAGACTATTTTCTTTTGATGGAGATGGATTCGATGGGTCATAATGAAAAAAAAAAAAAAAAACGATTGGGGCGTACAAAAATGTGTGGCGCACCGCAAATATTACGAGTCACAGGGGTTGCAAAAAACCATGGTGGGCGGGGCGCCTCGTCCATCGCCTGATTGGTTTGAGCGTAGTGAAGGGCAAAAACAGATACAGGAGCAGTGGGAAGTACAACGCATCACGCACGCAAGATACGAGTCGTGAAGGTTGTAAACAACACGTGGGCGGGGTCGGGCTCGTCCGCCGACTGAGTGTTTTGTTCCCGCCAGCTGGCAGAACAAAAAAAAGGAAAAGGACGTACAAAATGCGTGACATACGGAGAGCACGAGTCTGCCTCGTCCATCTACTGAGTGTTTGTTCACACCAGCTGGCAGAAAGGAAAAGGATAGGACGGTACAAAATACGTGACATACGGAGAACAGGAGTCTGCCTCAACCCATCGATTGATCGGTCGTGCACACCAGCTGGCAGAAAAGAAAAAAGGACGTACAAAATACGTGATAAACGGAGAATAGGACTCGCCTCGACCCATCGACTGATGGGCTGTTCAAACCAACGGCGGAAAAGAAAGGGATAGGACATACGAAATGTGTGACACACGGAGAATGGGAGTCTGCCTCGTTGAGTGCTTATTCACACCAGCGGGAAACAAAAAAAAAAAGGACGTACACCATGTGTGACACACGGGCAGTACGAGACATGGGGGGTTTGGAGGCATCGCCTGGTTGGTTGATTGCTTGTTCACAACAGCGGGACAAAAAACGGTTAATCGTGCCATGAGTCCAAGTGAATAAAAAGAATGCTGGTCTGTGGTGCGCTGAGAGAGGGATGAACTTCCTGCGATCCCGGCGAAAAGATTCAATGAATGAGTACCCACGCGTGAAACACGAAAAACACGCATAGGGGGATGTAAAACAAAGGGTAGAAGGTCGTGACCGAAGCCCAAAGCACTACACAACGGCAGAATTGGGATTCCGATGAGTGATTGGCTGGAAGGCGGAGAGGAGGAGGACGAGGCGCCCTCGTCCAGTCCATCGACTCTCAAAAGAACAAAACTGGATCCGGCGAAATGTGAAACGTGTTCGTCGTTGTCTTCACAACTATAAAACTGTTCCGGTACCACCTCAGCACCGGTGCCTTCTAGCGTCCGTGCCGGCCCATCGACTCTCAAAACTCTATCCGGTGGATGTGAAGCGTCTTGTTGTTGCCTTAGCATTAGAAACCTCTCCTGGTCTCCTCAGTACCTTCTGACCCCCGTGCGTGTCCAACTGACGCGCGGACGCCTTCCGACGTGTTTTCGTATTTTTGTCTTCACTTCGAAATAAATCAGGGCGGGAAGAACTAAAACCTTCCCGCGCGGGCGGCGAAATTCACATAGCCATTGCAACACAAGCATAAATAAAACTCCAAAAGGGTTTCCAATATAGCCGGGGACTGGAGGAGGACGAGGAGGACGAGGGGTGCGACTTCGGAGATTTTTATTGTCAACCTAAACCAAACATGACGAGTCTTCGGAAAGCTCTCGAGGATAAAACGGTTCTAACGTCGCCGCAGAAAAAAAAATCGGTGGCGCCGCCACGCCTCCTTGCCGAGCTCTTGAACATCGTAACGGGCGTGCATGTGTGGATGTGCTTTCATTAATAGCACCGACCGCGCTAACCGGCTGACCAATGAAAAGGCGTCAGTCTCAGCGCGGTTGAAGGTACACAATGCTACCGACGGCCATGATCTATCTCTCGATCTCTACCTCTCTCTCTCCGGTGTGATACCCCTCTGCACTAAACTAACCTACGGTCAAAAACGAACAAAACTCACCGCGTGGATGTACCGCACGGGCTGCTGCTGCTGCTGCTGCGTCGCGTCAGCGCCGTCGGCATCGGCCGTCACCTTCGACGACGCCACGAGCGCCTCCTTTCCCATCGCCTGGAGCAGCTTCAGCATATGCCCCGTAGCCACGCCGGGTGTCTTCTCGTCTTCAGTGAAGACGAACATGGCCAACTGTTTGGCCGCGCGGGGGTCCGTCCCCGAGAAAAAAAAGTGCGGGGGGAATGAGGAGGAATGACGGCCGGGACCAACAGCGCGGGGATGCGGAGGAATACAGGGAAATGCGGGGCGACGAGGGCCGCGAACGGCGGCAAGCGTCGAGAATGAATCAGCGGAGCGTTGGAAGGCGAGGGGGGGGGGGGGGGGGAATGCCGGGAAACCCCG